TTCGATATTGCTTGTTCTTCCCTTTTACTTTCAACGTTACTTTTTGGTCATTTTATTATAATGCGTTAGCCAATCAGATAACAGTCTTCATTTTCGTTTACGTAATTTATCAAGCTATTAGATCTTTTTTAACATAATCTTAATTTTCCTCTATTTTGTATAACAAATTTTTCGGGTAAAGGCGTTTTAACGGTGGTCCACGAGGTGGTCTTTCACGAGACCGACGGCCGAAGTGACCACCAGCCCGCATGGCCGAAACGTCTATCACGACGGCTTGCTGCATGAGAACTATTCCGAGGCTCATACGAGCCCGTTTATGTCGGTCTCTCCTGCTCTGTCGGTCCCTGGACTGTCGGTGCACTGGGATGTCCCCAGGGGCGTACGCAGGATTTTTTCAAGGGGGGGGGGTTTTAAAATATTTTGCTCCCGAAAATTTGAAAATCGCGCCGGCCGAAAAGTCGCTCAGTGGGGGGGGGGGGGGGGTAAGCGGACACTTTTTTTTTTTTTTTTTGGAGGCCAAAAAAAATCGCAACGACTCAGCCGGCAGAAAAGTCGCTCAGTGGGGGGGGGGGGGGGGGGGGGGGGGGGGGGGGGGGGGGGGGGTAAGCGGACACTTTTTTTTTTTTGGTCTCAAAATTTCAAAATTTGACATTTTTTTTACGTATGGGGGGGGGGGTAAGGTCACCTTATTTAGGTTAGCCGTGGGTATAATTTTTTTTTTTTTTTTTTTTTTTAAATAAATAAATAAAAAAATAATAAAAAAAAAGCCAAAGGGGGGGGGGGGGGTTTTAGGTTTTTTTAGGGGGGTTTACATACATTAAAATACCAAAGGGGGGGTTTGAACCCCCAAAACACCCCCCTGCGTACGCCCCTGGATGTCCCGATACTGCGCATGATTGTATTAGGACTGTGAGTATTTCTAAACACAAATATGATTTGATTTGATTTGATTTTGAAAAGTATTTATTAAAAACCACATGGCAACTCAAAGGTTAAATTTAATGGAATTTACATCCTAAAAAAATCAAATAAATGCAATATATACAAAGTAAATATGATACAATTTGACATTAAGACTTATACATAATTAAAGAGAAACACATTCTAGCAAAGGCATGTAAATTAAAATAAAATATGGTAGATTAAACTTCAAATCAAGCGAAGACATTATTCTTTAAAAAAAAAAAATATGGTACACACCATCATTGCGTACTTTGTGTATATGATTGAACTAGGTATGTTAAACCATATTATTTTCTGTGAGAACAACATCACACAATTGCATCTTTTTACCGATGATTTAGCAGATTTGAAGGAAAGTAAAGAATGTCAGATTGTGCTTTTGGGAAAGCACGTACAGAGAGGAAAGCACGTATAAACAGGAAGACGAAAACGATTTCGTAATGATTATGCCCTAAAGATACTCGCCTTATACGGTATATGGGTATGTGCCTTTATAATGTATCGCTTTCTTGAAGAAAAAAAGAAATAATCAAAACACTCCTTTAGAGGGGATTTTAATCCCTTCTAAACTATAACGAAGAGATCCCTATATACTGTGGCTGTGAATTTCTATTCATTTTGCACAATGAAATATTAATGTGTAACGTCAAGCTCCTTTTCTCTCTATTTCCTTTCTTACTTTTTTCTTTCTCTCTCTCTCTCTCTCTCTCTCTCTCTCTCTCTCTCTTCCACCCCATCTCTCTCTCTCTCTATCTCTCTCTCTCTCTCTCTCTTTCTCCCTCCTTCCCTCCATCTTCTTTCTCTCACTCTCTTCAAAATTTGAACACACATGCCGAAAAGTATCCATGACATGATATACAATTTCATGTACAGAACCATGATTTTCCAACCTGTTGAAGGCGCACCTCCATCGATATTTGCCAAGAAGTTTGATGGATAAAAAACACGACACTGCAATTAGTTTTGATTCTCTGGATTATTTTCCCCCAGTTATCGTCACCATGACAGACGTTGATTTAATTATATTAGTATCTGCACTTATAACTAACTAACTAATAATGAATTATCTCTATAGCAATAAAGTTATGTAAGACATTATTACAGCGATAAGAAGAATTTTGAAAAATCGTGTGATGGGTTTAAGAAAGGAGGCGGCTCTGTTGATGGCATTGCGATGACGACCACTTGCCCACTCAGCGACTCCCTAGTGACGTTACCATGGTAACGGTCTTACTGTCGGAAGTTCCCCCTGAATTCGGGAGTTGACAGGAGGAAGTGACGACAAGCGAGTTCTTCTCCTCAGCTCAGAGCTGATGGCGATTGCACACGGAGGGAGGAGGACACACACTGGCGTTACGGGAGGGGGCCTCTTCGGGAGAGAGAGAGAGAGAGAGAGAGAGAGAAAGAGAGAAAGAGAGATTTAGAAGAGAAAAACAGAAAGAAAGAAAGAATGGTTGAATGACTGAATTGTGGAATGAAAGAAAGAGAGAAATCGAGAAAATACAGTGATGAGGGAGAAAGAGTAATTTAGATTAGGGTATAATAGATAGATATAGATTCCTAATTTGATAGATAGATAGATAGATAGACAGATAGATAGATAGACAGATAGATAGATAGACAGACAGATAGATAGACAGATAGATAGATAGACAGATAGATAGCCAAGGGGAAAAAGCAAGGGAGAGAGAGAGAAGAAAAAAGAGGAGGGGAGAGGTTTAGGTGTATCGACGAGGGAGAAGGAACCCATCGCTGGATTTTTCGTTTCTGCACTGTCTTCATTAAAACTTGTAAAGCAGCATTCGACTCTCTCTGCTAGGGAAGATTTCGACTAACACTTTCGCCATCCGAAAACAAAAATTCTTATGTTAATTTTTGTTTGTTTGTTCTTCCTGTGTTTATCAGCAATATTATATCATCAGTATCATAATAGTCATTATTTCACAAGCCTATTGTGATATAAAGGAAGTAAACACAATTACATATTCAGTTCTTACAATGTAAAATATTGTAGCCAGATATGCGCCCCCTCCCCCATCGAAAAATAAGGAGGGAGAAAGTGAGTTAATTTTCTTGGGCTTTGTAAAATAAATTAAAAAAAAAAAATGATTAGGAATGGATTGAAGCGCCAACTAAAATTACTAAGAAATTGTAATAATTTATTTTATACGCACAAAATTAATAATTTATACTCGTGAAAAAAAATTGTTTTAGGGATGGATCGAGGGGCCAACTAAAATTGCTACGATCATAATATACACACAAATATACTCGTGAATTTGAAAGTGTTCATAGACCACCCCCCCCCCCCCCCCCCACCCTTACAGAACCGTGTATAATTGACATTAGGCATTTTCAGCTGAACAGAGGGGCGATGAGTATTAAAACAAAGAAAACTAAATTATGCGTGTCTCAACGATTATCCAGACCTTCCGTCAGTTGTGTCTTTATCGCTCATAATTATGTATCACTAATCCATCATGAATATTAATGTTTCATCTTAATGACAATAAAAGGTCACCACCAAAATAAATCAGATCATGTCAGTGATAGAAAAGGTAAATCATAATTGCCTTATAACATGTAGCATACATTAGAAAATTAACACCTTTTTGTACGCTCAAAGGTCACAAGGTATTGTATAATTGGATACTATTACTGTTTGAAAGAAGGAAAACGTCATCATGAAGAGTAGAAAATGCATTGTCTACTGAAAGTGGCAATTTGTCTTCTTCTTCTTTTTCTTCTTCTTGAAGATGTGTTCCAAGAATAATACTATCACATTAATATTTGTTAAATGCACCGTTTTCACAGTTAAACATGAATAACAATGTTTAGAGCTAGCCCTAAAACTTTCCTGGATACATTTTCCTATTGTGTTTTTTTAAATAAATTTCAGAACCATCATTTATATTGAATATCTACCTAGTTTTGTAGGCTATAAATAGTGTATGATGCAGTTTCTTGTGTATGTTCTTGGTTTTATGGATTTTTGTCGAACCCTCTATTATAGGAAACGTATAGCCTACATCCTCTCCACCAGCTGTGTTGCGTAATACTCAGCCGACTTAATCGCCTTTTTGTTTCCTTAATCCTTCACGGTTATTTACCATTGACCGTTAGATCCATAAATGAAGTTAATCCGGTATAGCATACAAAATATAACGGTCTCAAATTACGATTCGATGGGTAATAAGTAGAAGGAAGCAGAAAAATCGAGGAGAGGGGATATTCTTTTCTCATTTGCAAGCCTGTTTGAAGGACTAGTGAGGGGAGGGGGAGGGGAACCTACATTTTTGACAGAAAACTACGACACAAGTATTCCCCGTATTGTGTGCTCACGTGATTACGAACGAACAAGTCACATGATCTACAGTACCCCCTGGTGTGTAATACTTGTGTCGTTTCTCCATTTCATCATCTCCGTAACGGTACACGTTCAACGTCATATCCCTGCATTCCTGATTCGAAAATTCATCTTCATCATTACGAAAGATACAATTCATTATTTCCACATCCGAATCGTCCAGTCACTGTCGCAATTTAGATGTATTTGGGGAAGTTTTCTCTATATTTTTATCCAAAGGATTATATTCAAATACAGTTACATAGTCCCGCGCTCATAGGTCAATGTTCTAGGGGTGGAAAGAGGAGAGTGTATTTGTAAACAGTGTTGAATATATTAATATCAGACTAAGGAAGCATTTATGATTCAATTAATTTTAGCATGATTGAGATTAATACATTCAGATTCCATGTATGAAGTGACTTTGCACATTGATTGAGGAAATTGTGAAAGAAAGTCAAAGAGTAGATCTTATTCCTGAATTCTCCCAAGTATGCTTCCTGACGCATCTGTGAACCAATCCATCAATCAAAATTCTCAGTGAGAGACACTCCCCCTTATGGTAGCCGTGATTGGTCGATGGTTACGTCGCTCGCTTTCATATGCAAATGAGAAAAATATCAACACAGCGGAACGTATACACACGATCGACGAACGAACGCCGTTCTCCGTGCTGCGTACGTCTACAACAGAAAAGTCAGGCAGGAATGAAAACAAAGCGTTGCTGCAGCACGAGATCGAGAGCGCGTGCACGTTTGTGTGTACGTTACATACAGAAATTTCTTACTACGCCATAAGTAATGAACACTTCTTCGTGTTTTACCTAATTTCATAGCAGTTATAGCGTGGAACCTCGCCAAAACGTACATGGATTTCACCCGTGGACTTTAGCTTGGAGACTACATAGCCCTTCGATCGTAGCCAGCTATCCTGGAACCCGGGATATTGCCAGAAAAATTTGGCTCCAATTTTTGTGGTATGAGTACATGGAACTTACGACCAGAGATGTCAGTGGTACGTGTGCTACTGTTTACTTTATTTCTTCCGTTCACAATGCATTGACTCTATCTGTGCACACCTGAATTTGATTTCCATTTCGCTCTTTGCAATATAAATACGAAAACTGCCATAAGTTGTTAATCCATAGAATGTAGTATATCACTGTGGTCTACATCGAATGTTACAGCTCATGACAGTGACTAAATGTATTGGAGCCCAATATTGCCTTGCGAAATGAAATGTGAAATAGTCTACCGAAAGTCAAACACATGGCTGTGTTATTGTTGTGAATGAGTTTGAAAAGCAACGTGGCCCGGTACGGTCTGTGCATACCGCGCTTGTATACAGAGTCGTTGTATGCATGTATGCATGCATGTGATATTCCAATTTCTTGACTCTGATGCAATATTAAACATAGGAAAGAAATTATTGATGTGTTTGTGTTGTGTTAGTTCAATTGGTATTGGAAGAGAAATTATTAAATCAGTTATCATAACATGCTGCTGATAATGATACTTCTACTAAGTTAGGTCTAGATTATAGAGGGCCAAGAAGTTAAGATGTCTAATTTAGAAAATGTAGAAATGTATTTTTGTTTAAATTAGATTTTAGATCTAGATCTAGTTATTTTATTGCCTACCGTTTAATTAAAGTTTTATTCATTGGCACATGAGATCATGAATTGTCATAGATTATTGTGTCCTGAATTAATCTTGTTGAAATAAATGATTATTCACCTAAGCTACATGTACAAGCTTGAAAAATGTGATCACAACAAAATTGATAATTAATAGACGAGTATTAGACTCTTACAAGCACATTGGCTGACTTACTTTCTAGTAATCTAAGTAAAGATTTATAAAATGATGGATGTTTATTCACTGGTTATCAATTATCATTAAGTTTTATAATCCTAATGCTTGTCACAACTGTAAGTTAGCTGAATGAGTAGCTATTTAATGTAGATATTGTCTTTTGAACAGTAAAATGCATTCAGGCTTATCTTGTCAAATGCCCCTCACTGGTAATCACATTGCACATTTTTATGTGATTTTTCACTTGGTATAGAAAAATATAGAATTAGAACTAATTTATAGAAGCTTCTTCTTTTTGCATAAAGTATGCATAGAATCTTGATTTTTTTTTTCTTCACACGATTAGTGAGATTTCAGCCTGGCAATATTTTCTGTTCTTCTTACATGTACACTGTAACCGAGTCATTTGAAATTTGAAAAGTGATATTTCTGTAAGGAAAAAAAAAAGATATCTGGGTAGGCTTGTACTAGTAGTTTGTAATGACAAATAAAGGCAAAATTATGAATATGTGTCATTCCACAAACAGCAGCTCTTCAATTGTTTAAAGGAACTGAATTTGTGAACGAAATATTTTCAACAACAAAAAAGAGAAAGAGAGAAGAAAAAAAAGGTCTATTAAAATTGGCTAATCACCTGAATCCGTACCATGGTAGTTATACGCTGTACATTTCACATGTGCAGTTCACAATACACATGTCGGGAGTAGGCTTGAAACATGAATACATATCAGCATTCATGTGCAATAAGTTTTACTATTAGCTTGTTTCCGGGTTACAATGTAATGAGGGCATTTTTCAGTGGCCTTGGTAATTTGGTACTATAGTAGAAGCTTCTTTCATGTACTTTGAACTTTGCTCAACCATGCCGGCTCATGAAAAGTTTCATGTTAAATACGTTACAGTCATGGAAAATAACAATAAGGGGTAAAACACTGTTCTGTGAACGCCTCCCTTTCAGAACCACAAGAAGGCCCAAGTGACTTGCGTGCGGGGAAAATTCAGAAATGAAAATATGAAATTCATTCCCAAATACACTGTCACATTGTAGAGGAATGATGCTTAAATTTCATAAAACGTATCACTCATACAGGCTTACATTCTTCAGGATGACAGGATATGTACATGTATGTGCCATTTTTGCTCAGTGATATTTAAGTATAGATTATAGTTTTACCAGAGCTCTGTTGGAGCTTTCCAGAGCTAAATCGCTCGCTCTTATTTTTTCACTCACTGCTGGGCTCTCAAAATTCTTTTAAAGATTTTTTTTTTTTGGGGGGGGGGGGGGGGGTTGCCACTTGCCAGCAAAAGAGTGCTATAGATCAAAGCTGAGTTTGAAAGAAAAGGAAGCAACCTACAGTATATTTATATTATTCCTTTGATGTATTTATGAAGATTGCCAAATTCAACTTTTTGTGGCCACATGCAGTACATTGAAGTGCACATAAGATACATGAAACAATGGATTATAAATAGATTTTATTGCCTGCCATACACATGTACAGGAAAGAAGGGGAGGACTGTTAGGTTGCATGTTTGTAGGTAGATTACTTTGCAGTGTAGGCACTGGTTTATAGACCATTCTCATAATATACCGGTAATCAAGTTTAATGCATAAATCTTTGTTAAGTGCCAGGTTAAAAATTATTTCATTCACCTTATTCATTATTTCACTCATATTGTTGCTACATGTAGGTGTAGAACAAACATTATAGCTTGCCCTACCTAGCAACAAATATTGTGTGCAATTCACATTCTGACTATTGAAATACAATTGGTGCATTAAATTAAAAAAACAATTACGAAAATGGTCTATTGCACCAGAGCAAGTGCTAATTTTTGAGCCATGCTGGCCCACACTGTACACACACACACACACACATGTACTGTGTAAAAGTGTGTAGGCTATTGACTCAAGGAAATGTGTGGGGTTTTTGTGGTACATTGTTTTTTAACAATAAAATTACATACTGTGCATATGGTGTGTGTTTTCATGTAGATTTTACCATAAAAAATGTATAAATCTGTCCAAGATGCTGACATGATTAAAAATGCAGGGATTCATGATGTACCGGTATTGGAATTGATTGACAGGTGTGCTACATAAAATGTACAGGGTGCTTTTGATGATGGTTGTTTTTCATGAACCACAATTTATTCAGCAGGCCTTTGGTGATTTTTTGTTTGTTTAATTCATGAATTAGAAGTTATACCATGTACTTTATGCAGGGTAGAATTTTAAAGACATACCACTTATGAAACCAGGATATGACTTTATTATTGTTCAAACCGCAATGTTTCAAGGAGAATGGAAGAAAATGATCTATTGGAGGAAAAGCAATAGTAAATTACTGTACTGTTTTAAAGGAGAAGTCCACTCCAAAAATACCTTACTTTTAATAGAAACAGGAAAATCGGACAAACCAATCAAAAAAAAATTGAGCAAAATCAGATACTGTAGCTAATAAGAAAATGGAACAATGAAAAGCAAAAATTGGGAACTCACTCATCAGTCTGTGACATCATGCCCTCACTATCCACTAATTATCTTCTTTATATTGATTATATTAATTTCCTATTTTCTCCCTAAGAATCTTATTTCTTCACACCAGCATCCAAGTTAGAGTATTTTTTTCCAGTTAAATCATGAAAAATGTGAATTTTGATAAACTATGCAAATCAATGATTATGAATACAATATTCAGAAAATAGTAACAACTCTTCAAAGTTTATTTTTAAATTGTGAAATGTCATACATGCAATATGATAGAAATCATATAACCTGGACAAAGGTACATGTATGGGGGAATCAAGTTTTGGGGGATAAAAAGGGAAATTAATGGGATTAAAGGTAATACAAAGTTTTGGTATTGGGTCATGAATTTGGTTCAAATTAACATATTGGAAGCATATGCGTTCCTACAATATGCATTGATCGTTGTCCTGGTTGAAATCGAGTCTAAAGTTATGAAATTATAAATAATAAACTATTTTATGTTGTGTAGCTCCCTCTCAAGGCCAAGATATTAATTTAGCTATGAAACAATGTTTCTTGACTAAAATTGACCGATTAGCTATTCTTGTTTGGAAATTATATATCACAACCAAATATTCAGAGATTTTCATGGTCGCAGCTACCATTGTACGGCTGTAGGCGCTATTTGAAATTTATCAAAATTTACCGGGAGCACCGGTAAATTTTTATATTCAATTTTTCTCGAAAACAGAAGTGTTTTAGGGGTTAATTTTTTCAGTGCTTATAATACATCCACAGGGGCATCCAAATATACCAAAATTATAAAGATTCACTATCCATCCAATTTTCAAAATTTCCCAAAACTGTGTATTACCTTTAAACTATATAAAGCAATTGATAAAAAGTGAGGACATGACGTCACAAACTGATAATCAAATTAGCAATTTGTTTAGTGATTTTCAGTACACACCAATACTTATATGCTAGATGATCAAACTTTTCTGATCGATTCCATGTTTCTTTCACAATGCAATCGCATGGCCAGAACTGGTCTATACCTTTAAGGAGGAGGCCAAAAATCTTGTGTACATGTATGTAATCTATTTCCTGAACCATGTAATAATTATATTCTGTTCTTGATAGAGCATACCACATGATAAAGTCCCCATGCATTTCTAAAGAGGTTTAGAAATTATGTGCATGCATCCATGTTCAAAAAGGATTACCGGGTAAAACCATTGTCTGATATTTACATGTATTAAATGGGAACTGGGGAAGTCCAACCTTCCTTACAAAGTAAATGGATTGGAAGCAGAAACAAAGCATGGGCTACTATATTGTATACTTTACATACCGGTTCTTAAGTGTGATTAGCCAATTTTTACCCATCTATTTCTCTGACTTTTTGCCATTTCTTTTCGTGTAAAAAAAAATCTAATTTCTACTAAGGTTGAAGTTCCTCATAAATAAAACTTTCATTTCAGACTCTCCCCCGAATCCAACTTCACTGACAGTCCTAATTCCTATATCATTGTATTACTGTATGGTAGATCTATTTCTCATTGAAAATATCATGTATTGATTATGAGATTCGGATTCCATGTGACCACATTTGCTGCACCATACAGTGTACAAGGAAGATGGAAAAAACATTGATACACGATTAACGCAGAACTTAGCAAGTTTTGAAGTCATTTCTAAGTTTTCATGTATAAATGTACAGTACCTGTATTAGCTGAAGTCATAGTGTATATGTACAGTACATTGTACATGTAGTTCATTTGTATCCTATTTTACGATTGATGTTAAATATTGTTTTACAAAACTTTTCACAACTTTTCACTAGAAGATCATTTGTTATTCTTCTCTTTGTAATACCATTATAATCTTGTTTCTTCTTTAAATTCTCTCATCGGTACCTAGGACGAGTATCACCCCTTCATCGAGGCAGTTCTGCCTCGCGTCAAAGGCTTCTCGTATATATGGTTCAACCTCCAGGCCAGGAAACGGAGGCATTACAAGAAACATGAGAAACGGATGACCCCCATGGAGGAGAGGGTGGTCAAAGAGGAGCTCATGAACGACAAACCGGAGCTCAAGCAGAAATGGGCGTCGCGGTTACTCGCCAAGCTGCGAAAGGACATCCGTCCGGAGTGCCGTGAGAACTTTGTGCTGAGCGTGACGGGCAAGAAGCCGCCCATGTGCATCCTGAGCAACCCCGACCAGAAGGGCAAGATGAGGAGGATCGATTGTCTGAGGCAGGCCGATAAGGTCTGGAGGCTGGACTTGGTCATGGTGGTACTCTTTAAAGCGATTCCGCTGGAGAGTACGGACGGGGAAAGGCTGGTCAAGTCGCCCAATTGTACGAACCATACATTATGTGTACAGCCCCATCATATGGGTATCAGTGTGAGGGAGTTGGACATGTATCTTGCTAACTTCATCATGCAGTCACCGGGTAAGTTCAAGTTCAAGTTTTATTTATCTTTCTTTCATAAGACACATTACAAATATGACATGAATATGACAATTTAAAAGAATATGGCGTTACAATAGAAAGTAAGTACTTAAGCAAGGACCTCATGGTACTCCATGTAGTATAAATTTATTTTTTAGCAGTGCTCAGCTGCTTTTTCGATTTGCTATGTACTCATAGTGGGATATCCAATACTGTAACTAGAGCATTTTTCCCATTTTGATCAGAGCCCACGTTGATTTGTACAGAGCTAAATTACTTACCCCTCACATTTTTTTTTCTTTTTTTTCCTACTTTTCAAAAATCCTCCTTTGAATGGGAAATATATATGAAAAGAAAGAAATATTTACAACTTAAAATCCCATTTGTCATGGAATATTCCATTTACCGTAGACAAGGCTCTTCCGCCCTGAGAGGGAAGGACCAAGAATGGTGCAATCAATCAGGATAGTTGTAGATAATGGAATGAATTAACAAGTGTGTGTGAACATTCTGATGTTACATGTATATGAATAGAGAGGGGAATGGCAGTTTTACAGAATGTAATATTGAACAGGCAATATGTAGACTGGCAACCGAATATGAATGTTCAGAATTGTTAATACCACAGAAGTAAAGCTTTTCACCTTCTCTGGCTAACCAACCATGTACAGAAACATGCTGAGTTTGCAAACAAACAAATTAAAAGAAATTTAACACCGTTTCTTATCACATCTTCCTCAAGAATATAGGCCTACTACACTTCTGTTTGTTTAAGATATTCCAAAGCTCTTAAAATACAATGGATGCAAACAAAAATAATTTGTAATAATAGTATTATCAAATCCAGCATGCAAGGTCGTTTGTGAATTGGTTGTTAATCATATTAACTTGACATTGTGAAGTGTATGTAAGCTTGCAATACGTCTTGAGATAGTCCAACATGAATAGCCAATTACACATTCACGATTCATCACTGAAATGCTAATTGATTAAATAAACAAATAATGCATTGAGATAAGTGAGGGTCAAAAAACTTTTTTATCTTGAGCAGATAAAGTTCATCAAACTCTTTGAAAGTTTGTTAACCTTTAAAAAAAACAGAAATCAGAGAGAAGATATGGGATAACAGAATATTGATCTCTAAATATACCCTTAGAAGTTTAAGAATATTTCTGAAAGTAAATGCTGAAACAATGGGCTACATGTAGATGACCTGAAATTAAGCTTTGGAGATGGAGTACAATGTATGTACATGTAGGTAGCTAGAATCAGATTGAAGCAAAGGAAGAGATAGAAATGTTATAAATCGTATGTAGACTTTCTTCAGTGAAAATATACAGTGTAGGTAGAGTGAAATGATACTTAAAAAATAAAGCTCCTTTTGATTTGATCCTGTGAAATTACGTAAATTTAATCTTTTTGATATTACATGTTCAGCCATCTTGTCATGACAAAATAAAAGTGTTTTATGAGAGGTACTGCAGTAATGTACATTGTATCAGTTGAGAGCCAGCCCCACGAGCTGTAGACACTACTCAGAAACTCGGAAATGGACGATTTAGTTGCAAGTTGTCATGCACATGGTCGCCTGAAGGCCTGGATTCCCATTGGGCCGTGAAGGCCAAGGTTGGGGGTTGCAAACCTTTTTGATTGGACGGTCGGGAGAGAGAGAGAGAGAGACGACCGACCTGCGTTTAGTGGGGAATTCCAGAGAGGGACTTTGAAGACCTGAGAGTCTGTTAGAGAAGTTTACTTCTTGGAAAGCATCCTGGGATAGAACAGGATCCTGAGGTTGCTGGGTGGGTTGTCAAGCGATCAAAATTGAATCTAGTTATGTTTTTAAGCTAAGACTTTTACCACATGCCTTGAGGATACATGCCTCTGCAAGTTGCATTGGTTGTTGTCAGGACGATGAGACATGTGAATACTGTATGTACATTTCTTCAGTATTTAAAAATGAATTGAAGCCAGGCCAATTATCCTTTTGAGAAGGCTGCTGATACAATGTCAAGTTGCCTTACATACATTGTACAGTAAGCATTTACACTGTCCAGTTGCTACATGTATTAATTGTAGATCAATACAGTACTTTCCTGCAATGTAACTGTACATGTAGGCCTGTACAGAGGCTTACCGTACAGGAACAATGCAGGTCTCATCGACCTAATCCAGTGAGAAGCAACCTTAAGATTTTTGTTTTTTTAAGAAGCCTGTTTAATTTGAAGGAAAGATATTTTGATCAGCTACAATGTAGTTTTACATCATGAAGGCTTACATGTACATGTACATGCACAGTGAAGAAGCAATTTTTAAAAACAGACGTTTGGAAAAATCATCAGAAACCCAAATTCTTGTTTTTGTCAGTACATTGTGCAATATTCAGTATGATTGACACATGTTTTGCAATGCATGCTGGCAGGAACGGAGCAGACTTGCAACGTGTATGACAAGTGTGGCAAGAATATCGCACCTTAACCGACCCTCTCTGCGCTTTGACAAGCCTGTCCGAAGCTAGCACGCGTAGATCTTGTTTGAGTCGCTGGAGGGGTTAACAGGCACGGCTTCCCCAGGGGCCCTGGGTTTCCTGCAGTCATTCACCACTTCCAAGTTCTCTATTTCCTACATTTCCACTTGGACCTCTCTTTCCTGCAAGCCTCCGTCTCCCCCAGGGGCTTGCATGCTCAAGACTCAAGAGAGTGACAGATAGAAGGGAGAGAGAGAGGGAGAGAGCGAAACATAGAAAGAGAGAAGATATAGAGGGATAGGGAAAAGAGAAGGCAAGAGGGTGAAAATAAAAAAGGGACATATATAAACAAGATAGAGGGATTTGGATAGAGATAGAGAAAAGAGAGAGAAGTGGAAATAGGAAAGAAAAGAAAAAAAGAAAGGAGAGATAGTAGAGAGATGGGAGGTAGAAATAGAGAAAGGAGAAGGGCATTGGTAGAAACGACATTGTATTTGTGCCCGGGGGGGGGGGGGGGTATTACTTTAGATACTTTGTTTTTGTTATTGCTGGAGTAGGGATAGGAAATTCTGTAGAATCAGAGAGAGAGAGAGGCATAAAGTGTTGACAGAGTGAGAGCTAGAGAGAGAAGAGGGAGGGAGGGGGATAGGGAGGGAGGGAGGCAGGGAGAGGAAAGAGATGGGAAAATATAATCTTGCCATTCTTTGTTTATGATTGTGTAATCTGGAGGGGAACAGAATAGGGAGATTCCCACCAGCTGCGAATCAAATCATGCAATACAACAAGTGTCATCACAGTGTACATGCGGAAATCAACCTGTTAAGCGTACATCGGCATACATGTATTGTTTAGTTTCCCCTGTTATATCGTTTGTGGCTATTTGTGGGACTACACCAAGTATGGATGTGTTAATGTGTCCATTGTCCACTTGTCTTTGCTTTGCACTCAGATTCAATATTTTATTGCAACTAAAGTTCGTTTGGCAAAAACTATCTTTCAAAAGGTGTACTTTACAATCAAGTATTGGTATATTTTATGTGCATCGTTGTTAGGGTTCTGTGTTCATACATGTACATATATTCATCACATTGGATATGATTTGGTGTTGGTAAAACCTGCATTTTCTATAGACTCTAGTTTGCGTACCATCGATACAATAATGATGTTTGTTGGTTCTGGTTAATTTCTTGTTTTACATGACTGCTGTTAAAGAAAGCATTATAAGTTTCTAAGACTGATGGCTTTAAGTTGCCTCTGATAATGGGATTTGATAATGAGGATTATTGCCTTTAATACCAAAGGGCATTCTAGCGTATCAACGTGGTTTCAAACTTGAGACCACTTTCCTACCACTGAGCCATCGCCCCTCCGATTGTTAGCCCTAAACATTAAAAAAACCTTACTATTAAGCTGTGGAAACTTAATGTGTAGGAAATTATCATCTTATGCAGTACTCAAGTGTTCAACAACCAACAACTTTAATTCTGGTGATCTGTAACATCTGCAGTCGCTCAAAAGAGTCTGAATCCATAGACTATACAAATTACCTTGTACTTGAGGTCATTGACATCACAACACATTCAATGGAAGAATGAGGTCAATAGCTGTTCCAGATGACCGCACATAGCCATACACTGACCAATAGCTGTAAACAGTTACTTTCTTGAGTTTCCTGGAAGTCATTCTCTAATCCTCTAATACTAATAGAGTGACTGACAATGAAGGGATTTCCCAGAATTAGACTCCCGAAAAGGGCTTTCCCAGAATTAGACTCCAGAAAAGGGCTTCTGTGGTAAGGAGCTTGTACTTTTCATGGAGCCGCAAATAGGGATTGCAGCTTTTGTATTCTTTAGAAGGCAGTTTCAGGCTACTGTTATGTACAGGTTTCTTAGCTTTAATAGGTAAGATGATTTTGAGGTTTTTTTATTTTTTATATAGAAAGGATTTCCAGAGTTCCTCATTTTTTTTAGGTAAAAAATGAAAAGGGGTGTTTTCCAGGATGTGATTTGATCAGAGGATTATTACTTTTCCAGGATTGTGAGCTGTATCAGAATTGTACAGTAAATCTGTGGTCGATTAAATAGACCTCTCTCTCTCTTTCTCTCTCTCTCTCTTTCTCTCTGTCTTTCTCCCTCTTTCCCCTGTTTACTGTTGCTCCCCTCTCTCTCTCTCTCTCTCTCTCTCTCTCTCTCTCTTGCCTTCTCTCTTGCCTTCTCTCTTGCCTTCTCTAATTTACATGTATACTCTGTGTATCTCACACACACTCTTTTGATCTCTTTCCTCTGTTTCCATGCTTTATTTCCATGCTTTCTCTTTCTTTTTCTTTCATTGTCTCTTTGTTCCCTTTCTCCCTTCCCTTTCCCTACCCTCTTTGATTCCTTTGATTTCTTTGCCATAATATCTGCATCTCTCCATTTTTTCTGGCTCTTTTAATGTATTTCATTCTTATTATCACTTTAAAATTCCCCTCTTCCTCCCCCTTTCTTTTTGTTTCTTTTTCGCTTTTATCCTTCTCTCTCTCCCTTTCTATCTTACC